TTTGGGGAAAAAAATGCACAGATAAATAATTTACAAAGGTTCTTTCATGCTTTTGTTTGATTTAAAAAAATTTATCTCACGCTTTTATATGCATTATTATTTACTCACTGGTTGATAAGTTTGCAAAAAAAAAAAAACTAAGATAGGAGAGAAAAATTTTTTTTTTTGCTCTAAAAAAATTTTGTTCTACAAAACCCTTTGTGGGGTGGAAAAAAGTTGTTGGAACATTATGCAAAATATTCAACGATTGTAAAATGTAATGGGGGTTTTTTTTTGTACATTTATGAAGAGAGATAAAAACATTTTTTTGTAAACGAAGATAAAAAAATAACACCTGGACACAGGTGTTTTTGGCAAGAAAACACAGCTGTCAACTTCGCCATTCGTCTTGAAAATTTTTTATTTCTCCGTTACTTTCACTCATTGCTTTATCGTTCGGACAATCGTAATTATGTAATAATTATAGAAGAAAAAAAAACTTTGCATTATTGCAAAATTTTTTTTGGTCAAAAAATAGCTTTTCCTTTTTTAATCGTCGATCATAAAAGTTGACGACTTTATTTAAATTAAAGAAATTCCAAACATAATTTACATAATTCTGAAATTAAAAATCTTTTTTTCCAAAAACTAAGAATTGACTTCGTCAATTCTTATTTTCTGGAAAAAAAGATTTTTAATTTCCAATACTATCAACAATTGAAAGTGCGAAAAATTTGAAACTGCCGCCGATTAAAATTTTCCATTAATTGAACAACCAACGATTGAAAAAAACAGACGAGAAAAAAATTCATCAATGAGAAAAAAAAAATTAGAAAATCCTCTCTCAGTGGAAATAAAAAAAAATTGTTAAATTTCACAAAAACTTTTTTTCTCCTCTCGATAATATTTATTTTCCCCAAAAAAAATTCAGATTTATCATCAAGAGAGCAATTTCGCAAATAATTTTATTTCCAAATCTGCACTTTTACAAAAAAAAAAAAATTTACAAAATTGCATTAGAAATTAGAAATTTATTTTTTAAAAAATAATTTTCTGGAATCAAAATTTTATTTACAAGAAGAAAAATTCACCAGAAAAGAAGACTGGATGATTCGTTTTGAATTTTCCTTTTGATAAATCGTGGGGGGAAACATCCAAACAGGAAATGAAAAAATTCCCCAAAAAATCAGCAAAATTGAAGACAAAAAGACAAAATGAAAAAAAAATTTGCAGAGGGTACTTGCTCGTGACATGACGGACAGTGGATAAAGAGTATAAGAGAGCGAGGGGGAGGGAGAGAGACAGAGAGCAATAAACCATCAATATCTGAACACAACATGTTGAAGGCAGAAGCGAAAATTCAGTGTTTGAACGAGGCATTCTAAATTTAGGAGGAAGTATTGATTTTACAATTTGGACCCCTCCCAAAGTAAAAAATAAACCAAGCCAAATGTACTCTACTTTGATAGAGTGCCTCTCCTCTGCGCGGCTCGTTTCGACGCATAGGATACATAAAGAAAAAGAAAGACAGACGTCGAGCAAAAAAAGCAAGACATAACCAAGCCAAAGAGAGGGAGGATGTTGAGGGGGGAAAATTTCGAGTTTGAGGACGAGGAAGAGGGCGAAGAACAGGAGGAAGAAGGAGAGGAAGATGAGGAAAAACGAGAAAAAGAGGAAGAAAAAGAAAAATAATAACAAAAAGAAGAGAAAGAGCAAGAAGAAGAAGATGACGAAAAAAAGAAAGAAGAAGAAAATGACGAAAAAAATAAAAAAGGGGAAGAAGAAGATGACGAAAAAAATAAAAAAGAGGACGAAGAAGAAGATGATGAAAAAGAGGAAGAAGAAGAAAAAGAAGGAGGAGGAGGGAAAATAGAAGAACAACAACATAAAGAGGAGAAAAGCAAGAAGAAGAAAATGACGAAAAAATAAAAAAGAGGAAGAAGAAGAAGATGACTAAAAACATAAAAAAGAGGACGAAGAAGAAGATGACGAAAAAGAGAAAGAAGAAGAAAAAAAGGGGGAGGAGGAGGAGAGAAAGAAGAACAAAAACATAAAGAAGAGAAAAAGCAAGAAAAAGAAGATGACGAAAAAAAATGAAAAAGCGAAAGAAGAAAAAGAAGGAGGAGGAGGGAAAGAAGAAAAAGAGCAAGAAGAAAAAAAAAGAGAGAGAGAGACGAGAAATGTCGGAGTTCCTTCGTGGCAAGAAACAAAGAACAGAAAATTGATCGTTTGTCAAGTTTTATGTTCCCGGTTCAGAGTTGCATGGTGGGAGGTCGACAAACCAACACAACAATAAGAGAAACAACAGAAATTCAACTCGTCGACGAAGCCCGCGAAAAAGCGCGGAAAGAGACTAGAAAGAGAGTGAGAGGAGGAAAAGTGAGACAGAAAACCAGAAAGAGAGAGAAAGTAGAATCAGAAGAGAAAAATTTGCTTGTTAAAAGAAAAGAGAAACCCCCCAAACGAAGGGAATCTCAAAATCAAACTGAAATTGTATATTCCAGAAACCAATCAACTGTCCAAGTTGTTTCTTTTGAAACTGATATATGAAAAATATAGAAAACCAATAGTACAATACAATATTCAGAAAATTATAGAGAAAATTGAAAAATCTAGAAATTTTAATTCAATAAATTTAAATTTTCAGAAGAAAGTTTTTCATACATTGAAATGAATAAAAATATTTTTTTGATACATACTTTTAATTAGTGGGAAAAAAATTCTAAGGAAGAAGAAATAAAAAAACTAAAATATTAACTTGTTTTTTTTAACATTAAATTAAATATTCTAATTTTTTGAATATTAATTCTTTTTCAATTTAATATGATAGAAAATATTTAGACAGAAAGAAAATTTTGTTCGTTTTGAACGAAATTTTCGGAAAATGATTTAAAAAATTGAAGGCATTTTAAATTAATTTAATTAATTATGTAATTTAATTTAAATGAAAATTTAAATTTTTTAAAAATTTATATTTTTTAAATATTTTTCAAAATATTTTTAAATTTCAATTTATAAAAATTTACTAAGGAAATTTCAACTTGGATAGTATCCAAATTGGAAATCGTTTGAATTTAAATGCGACACCAATTTCAAATTTTTTGGACCATTCTAAAAATTGACGGTGTCGTCTATTTTCAACTATTGTATTTTTGCCTATTGGAAAATTGAAATATTTTTCAAAGTTTTACATTGATGAGAGATGAGAGGATATTTTTATAACAAATCAATAATTTTCAATAATTTTCTTTTTGAAATCTATTTGTTTAGAATTCAATTTTACGAAATTTCGATTATTCGGAAATTCTACAATTAAATATAGTATTAGAAAATAAAAACTTCGAAGAATTTCAAAAAAGAATCAATTAAACTTTTTCAAAAAAAATTAATTCTACAGAAGTATTAGTTAAAAGTGTAAAAAAGACACATTTTTAAACATTTTAATTAGAAACCTTGTCGAAATTCAATTATTTCTGAAAAATTATGATAATATGCATTTACTATTCAATTATAATCTACAATTTTAATTAAAATTCATTAGAAAATTCTACGGGAATTCAATTATTTAAATACAAATATAAATAATTTATTGAATAATAGAATGTTTCTTAAAATTGAATTCTAATAAAGAATTTCACCAACAAATTTTTAAATAATTGAATTTTTTACACAAATTTTAATCAAATTTTTAAGAATACTTACAATTTTCGAGGAATTCGATTAAAATTATATTAAAAATAATTGAATTCTTTTAAGGAATTTTTGCTATTTATAAATATAATTGATATCTTGAAAAGGATTTTTAAAACAAATTTTTAAATTATTAAATTTCTGCGAAAAATATATTACTTTTTTTTTGAAAATAATTAAATCTCTGGGAAGAATGTTATCAAACTTTTCTTTAAACTATTTGAATTCTTTTGGAAAATTTTATAAAAATTGTAGATATTGAAAATCGTTGAATTAAGGAAAATTTTTAAAAATAATTAAAATATTGCAAAGAATTTTATTTAAATTTTTGAAAATAATTGAATATTTAGAGAAAAATTTTACTATTTATAAAGAGAATTGAATTCTTGACGACGGAGACATTCGTTAATATTTTTTAAAATAATTTTCTACAACGAATTTTATTACTTTTGAAAATAATTAAATTCTTGTTGTGATAAATATTGTTATATTTATGAAAATAATTGTATTTTGCAAAGAATTTTATTCAAATTTCTGAAAACAATTGAATTTCTGGAAAGAATTTTGAGATTTATGAAGATAATTGAATTCTTCTATAAGAATTGTGTTGAAATTTTTGAAATAATATCAAATCTTTATTAAAAGATTCAAATAATAATTTCAATAGGATTGAAATTGAAATTTTTCAGAAAAATTAATTCTAAAAAATTATTAATTAAAAGTATAAAAAAAATACTGCTCTAAATTTTGATTTGTTTTAATGTTCTTAACTAAAATTCTTCTATAAATCCATTATTTTTAATAATTAATTAAATCTGTATTAAAAAATTTAACTAATTTCAGAAGAATCTAAATTCTTAAAATTTTTCAATTATTAAATTAATTAAATCTTAGTCTTAGTTCATTTTTTTGAGAATATTTATTTAAATAAGTCTTAGTCTTAGTTTCTTTTTGGAAAAATATTTATTTAAATAAATATTCTCAAAAAAGGAACTAAGACGCCTATTCTTTTAAAATTGATTTTTTTTTCCCTGATTAAATTTAGAAATTAAAAATTCCCTCTTTCTTCATCATCATGATCATCATCATCATCATCAAAAATCGATTGCGAATAAAAAAAAAAAAAAGAGAGAGAAGAGAAGAGAAGAGAAGAGGGGAAAAAAAGGGGACAAAAAAAGAAGCCGGAGGTAGTTAAGCGTGACGTCTGTGTCGTCGTCGTCGCCGTCGTCGTTTTTCATTCGAAGGAATCGGTCGGAATTTCAGCTTTTCAAGGCCTAAAGGGAGAATCGCATGACATTCAAGGACGATGTAAAAGCACTATGGTCAATTACCTTGTGTGCTCTCAGTGTCTTGCCCTCGCAAGCGAGCGTGATATCGCAATACGATTGCCTCTCAAGTAGATGTGAGAACATGGTTTGCAAGTTGCTGTGGTGGTACTTCCATCTTAGGCAATATTGCTGGGGGAACATGATGGGTGCAGCGGGTGGTGCCGCCGATGTTGAACCGTTCCGTTGTTGCAACATACGTAAATTTGGCACTATCAGTGCCTCTCCTCCGCCTTGAGTGATGTTGAAGTCTGCTGTATTCTCCTCTTCGTCTTCACCGTTAGCTGAAAACATTCAAATTCAATTAGTTTTCGCATCGTCAATTCCTTTTTTTAAAATTTTTTTTTCTTCAAATTCCTCCCCCTTTATTTTTCTATTTATTATAATTTATAAATAAAAAAAAATTAATTTTTCTGTTTTTTCTTCGAATTTTCTTAATCAGAAATTACAAATAATTGCAGAAATTCAATTATTTTCAAAACTAATAAAATTCTTCGCAGAAATTCAATTAAGTTCAAACTTCAAAGATTTTTTTAAAATACTCGTCAAAATTTTAATTAAAAAAATTAATCCAATTTTTCAAAAGAAATTATTATTTTAAAAAATGTTAATAAAATTCTACGCTTATTTATTTGTCATCATAAATAATAAAATTCTTACAGGAATTTAATTATTTTCGTAAATAATAAAATTCTTTTTAGGAATTCAATTATTTTTATAAATAATAAAACTCATCGCAGAATTTCAATTATTTTTAATAGAATTTTAATCGAATTCCTCGAAAATTGTAATTATTCTTAAAAATTTTATTAAAATACGTCCAAAGAATTTAATGATTTAAAAATGTGTTGGTGAAATTCTTTATTAGAATTCAATTTTCAGGAACATTCAATTATTCAATAAATTATTTATATTTGTATTTAAATAATTGAATTCCCGTAGAATTTTCTAATGAAAATTGATTTAAAAATGAATTTTAATTAAAATTGCAGATTACAATTGAATATTAAATGCATTTTATCATAATTTTTTAGAAATAATTGAATTTTAAAAAGGTTTCTAATTAAAATTTTCGAAAATGTGTCTTTTTACACTTTTAACTAATAATTCAATTATGTTCAAAAATTTTTTAAAAAATCTTGTAAATATTTCAATTGTCTATATAAATAATAAAATTCTTTTCCGAAATTTCATTCTTTTCAAACATTTTAATAAAATTCTTTGTCAAAATTTCAATTATTTTCAAAAATTTTTCCCAATTCAATGATTTTTCAATAATTTTAATAAAATTTTAATAAAATTTTCCAAAAGAATTCAATTATTTAAAAAAATTTTTAATAAACTTCTACGCAAAGATTTAATTATTTTCAAAAATAATAAAAATTTCACAGGAATTCAATTATTTACAAATTTTTTATAAACTTCCTTGCACTAATTCAATTATTTTCATAAATTTTTAATCATTGTCCGTTTATAAATAAATAAAAAGATTCTTGTCAAAAATTAAATTATTTTTTCATAAATAATAAAATTTTCCACGGCAGTTGAATTATTTAAAATAAAATTTTCATAACATTTTTTGAAAACAACCAATTACTTAAAAATAATTTTATAAAATTCTTCGCAAAAATTCAATTATTCAAAAAAAATTAATTTTCTTTCCCAAGAATTCAATTATTTTTATAAATAGTAAAATTATTCCTAGAAATTCAATTATTTTAACAATGTTTAATAAAATTCTTTGCAAGAATTCAATTATTTTCATAAATAATAAAACTCATCGCAGAAATTCAATTATTTTCATAAATAATAAAATTTATCGCTGAATTTCAATTATTTTTAATCAAATTTCAATCAAATTTCTCGAAAATTGTGATTATTTTTAAAAATTTTATTAAAATTCGTCAAAATAATTCAATTATTTAAAAATTTTGTTGATAAAATTCTTTATGGGAATTAAATTTTGAAAAACATTCAATTATTCAGTAAATTATTTATTTTTGTATTTAAATAATTGAATTCTAGTAGAATTTTCTAATAAAAATTGATTTAAAAATGAATTTTGGTTAAAATTTTAGATAATAATAATGGATTTGAAAATTGTCAAAGAACTTTTTCTTTTTGTCAGTAATTGGTCCGTAATTGTTCATTTTTGGTCCGTAAAATCCGTATTTTTAAATACTTTCACTGGTTCGAGCCCTGCTTAATTTTTTTATTTAATTGTAAATGAAAAAATTAATATTGTTTACTTTTTTCTGAAATTGAATCCGTTTTTTAGTTTTTCACAACTCTAAATAAACTGCTTCAAATAAACAATTCGAATGAATAAATATTTATTTCTATATCTAAATAGAAATTTTTCATTTTTTCAAATAATAAAATCAATCGGGTAAAAAAATGTTCTCTTCATTGTTCGAGAAATGGAAAAAATAAAATAAAACACTTGACATTTATTGAAATTATTTTCTTGATTTATTATCGACAGTTTAAATTACCAATAATAATAGAAAATTCCAATAATGAAAATTAATTTAAATTACTATTGATTGAAAGTAGAAATTGAAAATAAAAAAACTTGATAGGATTATCAACAAAATTTTAAGGAATTACCAAATTGTTTCATACAAATAATAATTAATTGTTTCATTAATTATTTTAATAATATTTACAAATATTCGTTATTAATTGTTTCATTTAAATAATCGATTATTTAATTACTCATTGGCAGATAAATATTTGTCCCAGGAAATAAATAAACAATAATATAATATACCTAGTAAAAATAATAAAATAATACAATGTCTGTTTTCAGTTTAAATTAGAATTTTTGGAACTAATTCAATTGTTTCAACGAATTTTATTAAAATTTTTGAAAATAATTAAATTCTTTCGAGGATTTTAATTTAATTAAATGTGTTTAATTAAAATTGTTGAAAATATAAATTAAATTAGTTAAATAAAATTTTAGAAAATTTAATTAAATAAGTTAATTAAAATTGTAGAAAATTTAATTAAATTAGTTAATTAAAGTTGGAGAAAATTTGAGTAAAATTGTATTGAAGATGATAATTGAATTCTTGTAAAAGGAATTTTATCAAAAATTTTTGAAAATAATTTAATTCTTTTGAGAAACTTTATTAAAAATGTACTGAAAATAAATTAATCCCCACGACGAATTTTATTAACCTATGATAATAATAAATATTAGAAAATTAATTAACTAAATAGTTCATAAGAGAATTTTTTTTAATTTTGAATCTGAATTATTCAAAAACTGATAATATTCATAATAATAATAATAATCATAATAATAAAAATGCAAAACTAATTAAAGTACAATAATAATAATAAAAAATAATCGAGGGTCACATAATTAAAATTTTTTATTTACATTTTAAAAAAAAGTCTGCTCTTTTTCTTGAATTGTTACGAAATTCATTATTTATTTCCTAGGTCAAGTTTCGCGTGACACTTATCTCCCACAAACGTGATAAGAATCATCGATTTGCTATCTCTTAAAGGATAATCAGTCATATACCATTTATTCTTTCTCTATTTTTACGTCTTTTCGATGCGAATTTCCTTTTTTTTTCTTTCTTTTATTTTGCTATTTATCGATCATAAAAAAATTACTTAATTGAAAAAATCGATTTCTCGCTGACTAATAAGAAATATTTATCTTCTAGGTATGTAATAAACATTTAATAAATTTTTTTTTGCCTTTATTTATGAAAAATAAATTTTATTTTTTTTATTTATTTGAATATTAAATTAAAAAATTTTTAAATATAAATTTACATTCAAAAGATTGTAATTATAAAAAATCATAAATTTCTAAACTAATACAAATTCTCATCAAGAATATTAATTTTGCAAATAACAAAAAGGAGTGATTATTATTTATTTAATAAATAAAATGAATTTTATTAATTTACTACCGTAAAATATTAATAAAAATTGAATTAGAAAATTTTACAAATAAAATTTGAAATAGAAAATATTAACAATAAAATTATTAATAAAAATTAAAATAGAAAATATTAATAATAAAAATATGAATAAAAAATATTAATGAATAAAACTATTAATAATAAAAATCATCTTTGTTCAAAAGATCGCAATTAGTATTAAAAAAAATTTTAATAGCACAAGATCACGTTTTGTTGCTTAAACTAATATTTTTAGTGACTTACTATTGTTAATCTGATGAAAAAAGTAAATAAATGGAAAACAATTGCTTGGGAAAAATCAACAAACATATTTATTATTTTTTTTTTTGCGATGTTTTCATTATATAGAGCATTTAAAAAATAAAATAGACTATATGATATTTATCAGTGAAAATTTTGCCAAGAAATGTACTTATACGATAACATCGCGAATGTAAACAAACATTACTCATTGTTGTTAATATATATATGCAAAAGTAATCGGAGGAAATTCTTTGTTTTTTTTATTTTTAATTTGAACAAAATATCAGTGGATTTTTATTAATGAAAATAAATTAATTATTGAAAGTAATCAATTCATTTATTTTATTAAATAATTTATTTGTTAAATAATAAATTTATTAAATAATTTATTTGTCAAATAAATAATTTATTAAATAATTTATTAAATAATTTATTTCTAAAATAATTAATTTATTAAATAATTTATTTCTACAATAATTAATTTATTAAATAATTTATTTGTCCAATAATTAATTTATTAAACAATTAAATTGTTAAATAATTCATTTACTAAATAAACAATTTATTAAATAATTTATCTATTCATTTTATTGTTAATTATTTATTTATTTACAAAATCCGCAAATAAATAAATTATTTATTTATTTACAAAATCCGCAGACAAATAAATTATTTATTAATTTATAAAATCCCCAGTTCTTTGAAATAAATAAATTTTTTTATTTATTTAGTATTAGCGGACATATTTATTAATTGATTTACCATTTTAATTATTAATCAACTAATAATTAATGAAAATAATCAATAACTTGAAAATATAGTCAATGAAAAATTAGTGAACTAAAATTAATTGAAATCGAAGTAGAAAAAAAAATCTGCTCTTCGTTTTCTTTTTTTTTTTTTTTGAGAAATTAATTAAAAAATTGATTTCATGCGTTTTACCAGAGTCCTCGTCGACGTCGTCGTCTTCGAAGGACTGCTGCTCGAACTCGAATTTATCCGAGTCCTCGAAATCTTCACCTTCCTCAGCCTCAAGTTTTTCGGTGTCCTCTTTCTTTTCACAAGAAGAACTTCCAACACCCTGACTCCTGCCCTCCCTCACCTTCTTCACGATAATTCTCCTCTTCACGACCAATTTATTTTCCTGCAAAAGAAAAAAAAAATCAAATTAATGACAAAGCACTTTTTTTTTTAAAAAGCTGAATTTTAATTCTAATAATAATAATAATTGTTGGTCTGAGAATATTCATTCGGAGTTATAATTAATATTGGCAGTAATTTTCGGTGGTTAAACAAATTTTTTTTCTGTGTAATTTCTTCAAATTTTAATATTATTAGTATTTATTTATTTATTTATTTATTTATTACAAGTGAATATTATTAAATATTATTTTAATATTTTTCAATTTATAGTAGAGTAATTTTCAATAAAATTTAAACAATGCAAAAAAATTTTTTACTTAAATTTTGTTAATTAAATTTAAATTGAATTAAATTTAATAAACTTTCATTTTTTCAACTTTCAAAATATTTTGCTAAATTTAAATTAATTTTTGAGATAGTTTCAATCACTCGTAGTTTCAAAATTTTATTAAAAAATGAATTGAAAATAATTAATTAAAAATTCAATAGAAATTAATTAATTTAATGACAACTGATTCTTTAATTACTTAATTAATTAATTAATTAATTGAAATTAATTAATTAAAATAGAATTGAAATTAATTGATTAAAATAAAATTGAAATTAATTAATTAAAATAGAATTTAAATTATTTATTTAAAGTAGAATTGAAATTATTTATTTAAATTAGAATTGAAATTATTTATTTAAAGTAGAATTAAAATGATTTATTTAAACTAGAATTGAAAATAATTAATTAATTTTTTCTTCTACAATTTTTTAATAACCTTAATTAAAATATCCAATTAAAAATTAAATTAAATTCTTCCTCGTTTTTTTTGCAAGTACAAATTTTTTATTTGCATTTTTGGAAAAATATATTCATAATGATTATTAATTTGATGGAAAAAAATATTTTCAAGAACCAATAAAAAAAGGGGGAAAAATGCGGTCACAATTGTGTGATTGTTTCTGGATTCTCCCCCCCCCCTCCCCTTCTTTTTTTGCCTTTGATTTATTCAGAAAATTGAAGAGTTTCTTTTTATTTTAGAGAGAAAATGAGGATAACTATTTTTAGAATTAGAATCTAATGATATCGCAAAAGAATATTTTTCTTCAAGTTGCAAAAGTAGTCTAATTCTATCCGTAGACACAATAGAAAGTACAAGGAATCTAGGATGTCGGCCGAATGTACTACATACTTATAATCTAAAGACCTGAATTTCTGTCGAATTTGCTGTTTTAAATATTTCACTCACACACGTAAATAAATAAATAAATAAATAAAAAAAAATAAATTTATATATTAATTTTAAATCATTTTTTTTTTTTTTTAATTTTTCTGTTTTTCTTTTTGTCTATTTTTTTCTATTTTAAGTTCAAAAATACGGGTCAATAATTTTGACGTAATGTATAACGGACTTTATGCGGAACGTAATGTAACGGCCCCTTGGAGGAGGGGCCCTTAGAAAATCTTGACTCAGCGGAAATCTTAATTATTGTTTTAAATCGACTAATAAAAAAGTTAATTTAAAAAAAAATAATAATATAAATAATTAAATATACAATAAAAAAATAAATTAATAATAATAAAATATAGAATGAATAAAAAATAAAATAATAACAATATATAAAAAAAAATAAATGTTCCTGGTACTACCAATAATACACATATAACTTGAATAAAATTTTATTGGCGAAAGTTACTCAATTCAAATAAATAAATATTAAAAAAAAAAGAAAAGAAAAAAACTCTCGTACGTGAGTGTGTGTGTGTATATGTAAAACTACACCACTCCCAATAAGTAAACAAATCGTAAAACTCTCGGGAAAAATTTTTATAATATAAAATGTTGCGAAAAATGCAAGTTTCTTGCACAAAGGGCCGTCTTGCATCACTTCCATTTCTAGTTAAACTTTTGAAATAGCGATTTCATCGAGTGAATTTAACTTCAATCTCGATTTTCAATTCAAACTGTATTATAGCACGGCTAGTAGTAGTAGTAGTAGTAGTAGGAGTAGCAGGGGGATTGAGAAGAGGAGACCTTGTGCAACCAACCCTAGAAAAAGTCTAGTTATCAGTTCAGTTAATATTGAACTAATTAAAAGTTTCTGCTTGCAGCAAAACGTCAGACATTCTCTTTTGCAAGACAATTAGAATAAAACAAAGATGAAAATATTTATAATTTGCATCATTATATTGTTAAGTCGTCTGGAAAAAATAGAACATTACATTCTGATCGTAAGTTCATTTTTCTTTTTTTTTTTAATCGACACTTTTTTTGTCTTTAATGAAATTTACTTTGTTGTTGTTTATAAAATTATTGATCGGTGATGGAAAAAATTATTTTTTTACTTTTATTTATAATTTTTGTATTTTTTCTGTATTTTTTTGTATTCTTTTGTACTTTTGTACTTTTCCTGTATTTTTGTACTTTTTCTGTATTTTTATACTTTTTCTGTATTTTTGTACTTTTTTTGGATTTTTGTACTTTTTTTGTTTTCGTTCCTATTATTTCTTTGTTTGTATTTTTGTATTTTTTTTTTGTATTCTTTGGTATTTTTTTACATCTCTTTGTATTTCTTTTGTATTTTTGTATTTTTTCTGTATTTTTATACTTTTTCTGTAAAAAAAATATTTTTATACTTTTTCTGTACAAAAAATACTTTTGTACATTTTTTGTTTTCTTTCCTATTCTTTTGTATTTATTTGTATTTTTTGTATTTATTTTGTATTTTTTTATTTTAAGCACAAAAAAAAAGTGTCAATAATTTTCAAAGAAGGACTCATTTTTTATTAAAAGCAATAAAAGAAAAAATAATATTAATAATAAAAGCAAAACAAAGAAAAAGAAAGATAATAATAAAAGCAAAAGTTGAGTGAAATAATTTTTTAATTTTATTTACATTTCTTTTTGTAAAAAATACAAAAGTATTTTTTGTACTTTGTTTTTTGTTTTGTATTTAATTGTTGTTTTTTTGTTTAATTTAATTTTGCATTTTTTGTATCTTTTTTTTTTATTTTTTTGGATTCTTTTGCCTCTTTTTTGCATGTTTTTGTAATTTCTTGTATTCTTCTGTTTTTTTTTTGTTTTTTCGTAATTTTTTCTATTTTCTTTTTTTCTATTATCTTTTTATTCTACTGTTTTGTATTTTTTTTCATATTTTTCTCTTTTTTTCTACTTTAAGCTCAAAAAATACGGGTCAATAATTTTCAAAGGAAGCTATTTTTTCAAAAAAAAAGCTATTAAAAGAGAGAAAAATATTAATAAAAAAATAAAAATTGAATAATTTCTTCTCAGGTTAATAAGAATAGAAAGAGGGAAAAAAGAACGAAAGAATATTTTAAGATTATTAAATTTTCCTCTTCTGTCAAAAAAAAGATACGGATTAATAATTTTCAAACGACAGACCTTTATTTCTTTCTAGAGGCAATAAAAGAAAAAATATTAATAATAAAAGTAAACTTTGAATAAAAAATAATTTCTTTATCGAATAAGAGCGCAAAAAAAAGAAAGACTTCTAAATAAAACTACTAAAGTAAGTTTTTTTTCTCTCTATATTAAAATCCGAAATATGAAAAATTCCTCTCTTCAATTTTTCAAAAGTTACTTTTCAATATTGCGGGTCACAAGGGTTCCATAAAAAGGTCAATCGATTTTTTTTTCGTACAATTTTTTTTCTACACGAAGATTGAAAATTTCAAAACTAAAATACACTAAAAAAGTCACGTTTTTCTGAAATTTTCAATTTTTAAAAAGTCAATAAATTGTTTTTCTTTTTTTTTTCGCAATATTGGCGGTCGTAAAAAGGTTCACAAATTGATGTATTTTTAAAGTCGGTATTTCCTGTTAGCAAAATATTTACTTTTGGATTCAATAAAAAAATTAAATTTGAAAAAGAAAAATTTGTCTCGAATTCTTTAAAGAAAAAAATAATCTTTTTTTTCTATTTTTACTTTTATTGTTATTTTTTTTCATTTTTACTGAATAAAATTTCCTTTGAAAATTATTGACCCGTATTTTCTGACCTCAAAGAAGAAAAAAAAATAAAATAAATAGAAAAAAAGGAAAAATAAAAAAATTGAGGAAAATAAAAAAATGAAAAAAAAATAAGAAAAAATAAGAAGAAAATTGATAATAAAAACTTTTTTATTCGACTTCTACTATTTTTTCTTTTAATAAAAATAAATGACGAAGAAAAATCGTTAAAAAAAGAAATGAAATAAAAATTGAAAATTAAAAATTTCTTTATTCGACTTTTACTTTTCTTTTTATTATTCTTTTTTTTCTTTTCTTTTTTTTGCTAAATAAAATATGCCTTCCTTTGAAAATTATTGACCCGTACTTTCTGACCTTAAAGATTTGCTCAAAAGCTATTGTCTCGAGCATCTCTTCTCGAAGAAATTCTGTGAGTCATCGTTTAAGTTAATCGAGTTATAATCGTGCACCCAGCCTGTAACATAAACTGCCATTGCAATCGTACAAACTTTTTCGTTTGTACATATTTTACTCTCAAAGGAAATAAAAAAATATTTGCGAAAAAAATATTTGCTTGCAAAACAAAATTAGTATTTTAAAAAAATTAGTTATTAACTTATTTTAATTAAAAATAATTTTTTTAATAAATAATTTTATTAAAAAAATTATTTATAAATTTTATTTTAACTCCTATCAATTTTACTTTTCATAATAAAATAATTTTACTGAAAAAAAATTTATTTGATTCAAATAATCTTATTATTTACTTATTTAATATTAATTAAATATTTACTTGAATCAAATCATTTTTACTTGAATGAAATAAATTTTTTTTAAGTGTATTAATTATTATTATTAAAATTTACAAAAATAATAAATTACTTACAATAAAATCATTTTATCTGGTAATAAATAGTTGAATAAAATAATAAATAAAGTAAATAAATAATTACTGATAAATAATATTTTTTATAAAATTATTTTATTTTGTAAGCCCGTTGATACTAATTAAAAAAAAATACTTAAAATTATTTATATAAAA